TAACTGCTCAATATAACTCCCAGTCTATGCCAAAATCTGCCTTCTGCAGTGTAAAGGGAGCCAGAAAGATGACTAAAGGGACCAACCATCCCAGTGGTGTCAGCCTCTTCCACCATGCCAGCCTGGGCTTTGTCACCATGAAATATCTACATTTGCAAATCTTAGAATTACAAAATTAATTAAACTGTTCAACAAGCCTATATTAATCACATACTATCTGCCAGATATACTGTGCTCTGCAGCGGATGTTACAAAATGAATTATGTATGGATCCCTTGGTGATGACTCCATCACCTCTTTTATTTTCAAGAAACTGCAGAACGAAGAACCAACTGGGAATCAGAGAATCTAGATTGTCCCACCTCTTACAGCTGTGTGATTTTAGATAGATCAGATGACCTCTCTGAACCCCTTGACTTTCTTATCTAGGAAAGGGTAGTAAATAGTAGCCATCCCACAAGGTTTTTGTTTGTTTTTCTTCAGATAGAGAAATGATATAAAGTAGATAACTAGCTTTATAAACCATAGAACAACATACAGCTTCTCTAAGGTGAGGCTGGTTTTTATTATCCAAGGTTGCAGAGCTCATTAAAGGGATCCTGCGAAAGTCAGCCACCATAGACCCTACTTTTCCTTCATGACCTCTGTGACCTTCAGCAACCTGGGGAGGAGGTAATTGAGCAGCAACTACTACTTCGGAAGAAACAGAATCGAAATATTGAAGCTATTGACTCACCCTTAAGGTAGTAAACAATGCTTTGGTCTCTGACCTTTTCGCATCCTGGGGCAGTCAATAACCTGGCCACTAGATGCAGCGCCTGCCACTGATTTTGATTTGGGAGTAGTTTAACCTTGAACTGAGCTCCAAGTAACCAAGGCAACAGGAAGTCAGCTTCTGCATCGAAGGAGCAGGAATCCATAAATCAAGTCCCTAATGCAAACACGGTGTGCAGGTAGAGGTTTGAGGGGATAAGTGGTCTATGAGAAATTACCTTTGAAAATGAGTGACTATTTCCACATAGGCTACAGCACAGTTTCAAAGACGTTTTTTAAAAAAAAATTATCAATAGAGGTCAATAGGTTATAGCGGAATGTTTTTCTTATAAGTTTAACTTTTTTGTATTTCCTCCTGACTGTGTCTTTTAATTAAGAACAGATGTTGGATCCACAAAGTTATTAGCATTGTTATTTTCCTCTTTAAAAACTTACTGGTCTTCAAATAGGCAATCCTCAGTGCAATATGTCTCATGTTGGGGTTTAGGGATGCTCTGAACACGCCTACCAAGAGTGCTCTCCATACAGTCTACATTCTGAGTTTGAGACAGTGATCCCTTCCCAGAGCACAGTGGCATTACAGTTGTCTCTGTGTAAGCAGTGGTGCTACATCTCAATGGTCCCGTCAGTACAAGGTTAAATCTGGGTTTCTTTATGATCACCCTCTAGCATCAAAAATCTCCCTCCCATTGATAGAAGCCTGGTTCATGCTGAGAATAAACGTTTCAAATGCCGCCCCACCCCCAACCACTTTGCTTTTGCTCATCATAGAATATCAGTCACCACCTGGAATGAAGGGTAATGAAGAGACTTCCAGTGGTCAGCCCGCCCAATGCACTCTCCCAGGGACCAGTACCCCATCACCATCTCCTGACACCTCTGCCCTCAGACAGATTTTGTGGATTAATAAGTGTTCATAGATTAGCCTTTGTTTAAAGTTTACTTAATATTCTTGCTTGTATTATTTCTGGGGTTGTTTCCATTATCCTTTCAAAATTCAAAAATGGCTGAGAAAAATGTCAGGGCTTTTTTTTTTCTTTCTTTTTTAATTTGTTTTCAAAATCATTGGGTGGTAACTAGAAAGCTGTACTCTAATCTAGAAAATTCTAAAGGATCTAGGGTTTTCAAGAGAGCTAATAGTAACCATCTAAATTATAGAATGTTTTAAGTATCATTTTATTACTATTAGTATATTATGTAACATAAACACTTGAGTAGCAAAGTACACCCATGAGAGATCTGACTGGATCAACTCTAATGAATTGATGTGGACTGAGACTAATTTGGATTGTGAGCATTTGCATAAAAATGGGTACAACTAAAGTGACTTAACTCCATTTATTCCCAAGTGAGAGCTAAATATCTGACTGCTAATCCTGTTTATGGCCTTCATGCCCCAAGCATATCATAATTTGAACAAAGAATTACCTTCCCAACTTGTGTCCATGGTATAAAGATGACATATCAGTGAGTTTTTCCAGAGGAGCTGTTATGCAATAGAAATCTGACAGCTTAGATTTCCTGAGGTGTTCCATGGAAATTCTGCCTCCATCCATTCGGTGGGAATGCCATGGTGGTGCAGTGTACCAAAATGGGAAATTTTCATCAGACTCATGCCTGCTTTGCCCATTATCAGACTTTTTAGCAGCCACGTTGTGAAAACACCTCAGTCATTCTGCCCCTGTGCCCATAGGCTTCTGGATAGTTTCCAAACTGTGTTTGTTTTCTGAAAGGAATGAAAAGTTTAATACATGTTTGTGGGTTTTTTAAATATTAACAATAAAGAAGGCTAAGAAGTGGCCAGGCGCGGTGGCTCATGGCTGTAATCCCAACACTTTGGGAGGCTGAGGCTGGTGGATCACGAGGTCAGGAGATCGAGACCATCCTGGCCAACATGGTGAAAACCCATCTCTACTAAAAATACAAACAATTAGCCGGGTGTGGTGGCAGATGCCTGTAGTCCCAGCTACTTGGGAGGCTGAGGCAGGAGAATCGCTTGAACCCAGGAGGTGGAGGTTGCAGTCAGCCGAGATTGTGCCACTGTACTTCAGCCTGGGCAACAGAGTGAGACTCCGTCTCAAAAAAATAAAAAGAAGTAAAAACACTGCCTCTTCCTTACCAGTCTCTGAGCTCTCCTTCCTCAGAATAACCACTGTTACCTATTTTGATGTGTTGCTTTACAGATGATTTTGAATGCATTTTAAATATGTCTGTACCTAGCCCATGATGAGCACACCTGCAAATTTTACAAACAAGGCATACTATACATACTTGCTACACCTTCTAGTTTCTTGATGGTTGTGCCTTGCAATCTGTCTGTCACAGAATTTGATGTTTGCCTATCTCCACCTTCAAAGGGCTATGAAATATAAACTCCAAGAAAAGCATAAGTGGCATTTTTATTCATGGCATCACAACTGGGAGTTTCAGGGACCGAAATGGAGAATAGGAGGAAGGAAGGAGGTAAATGTCAGCATGACTGTCTTCCTTAGATAGTTACAGATGCCTTATCCAGGTGTGATACTGGGGCCTCTTCATCCTCTGCATGAAACATGCTGTCGGCAGACTGGGGTCATGGTCAGGTATTAGAGTATGGCCAGATGGACCAATATGATCCCTGGGTTTAGCGTCCAGCTACCTGGAAACTTCCAGCTTTGACATTAAGAGCTGTATGAGTGAGTTCAGTTCTCTTTTAACCTTTTAGAAATGTGTTCTCTTCATCTGTAAAATTGAGAAAATTGTAATATCCACACTACATGCTTCACAGGGTTGCCACGAAGCCCAAGAGAAGCTGATCTCAAAATGGCAGTGAGATAGTGTTACTCTGGGAGGGGACTGTATCACTCAGGTTAGTTGGGATAAAAAAAAAAGAGTCAAGAACCAATATGGTAAGGCCCAATTTGTTGTTGTTGCTGTCAGTGTTATGTAGCTGACAGATGGAGAAACTGAATAGGTAACCATTTGAAATGGATTCACATGCCCTCAGCCTCTGGACTTACATTTGGATGAGTTAGAGAGCCTTGTTTTTGCATTGGGGTGGGGAGGAAGGTGCCCATATATTCTTAGTCATGTCAGGGAGAAGAACTGACCCTTTGCTTGCTGGTTACAATTGGTTCTGAGGAAGCAGCAGGTCATAGTAATGATAGTTGCAATAATAGGGATAATAATAATGTTAAGCACTTTCATAGCACGGACTATGCACTAGGCACTGTTCTAAGCACTTTACATCGATCGACTTGTTGGATGCTCACAACATCCCCTACAAGGTAGTATCATCACCACCCCATTTTTACAAGTAAAGAAGTTTAAAACTTGGAGAGATTAAGTAACTTGCTCTTCATCACAGAGTTGGAAAGTGGCGGAGCCTGGATTCAAGCTCAGGAAATGGGATTGCAGAATAGCTCTTACTGTTTGTTACATAGGAAATTTCTAGGCCCTTACAGGGGCACCTCCTGACTCCTTAGGCTTTTCAGCATCATCATGACATGACATATGATGCCTGTTATGACCAGACACTCAAAGGCCCCCAAATCAGCTCTCCTTACCCTACAGGCTGATGACACACTAATCCCCACAGTTCATCTTCCACCTCCAGCATGCTGGCCTCATCTGCATCATGTTTACTCCCCTCCCATGCCTTAGCCTATGCTCTTACCGAAAGTGCCTTTCCCTCATCCTTGAAGCTTCAGCATGAGCCTTTCCCCACTTCTTTCAACACTGATCTCTACGTCCTTAGAACTCCCCAAACACCTGGGATAAGTAACACACAAGCCTGCACAAGCTTGCTGTCCAATTTTTCCTTCTCATTCAGTCTTGTTTCCCCAGCTGGATGAGATGAGAAGTCTTACTAGGGTAGGAGCCATGTCTCTTCCACTCTGAACTCCCCATCATGCTGCACACAGCACAGCCTCTGTAAAGATAGGAATGTACATCATCAGAAGGCAAAGGGTCACCTGATGGATTATTCTGCTTCACTAGGCCTATGCTGTGACCCCACCACTTCCAGACAGCCAGCCTAGAATGGCATCACTCCTAACTTCAGCCACAAAAGCAAAACCAGTCATAGCTATTTTTCCTCTTTAAGCATTTTTAAATTTCATTCTTGTTGTACCAGAGGGAGGTGTTCAAATCATTTGACCATTTCCTCAGATCTTGTCCAGGTTATATGTTGTCTATCTTCCTGTTCCCTTAAAGTGACTGAAAGCTTTGGGGTTGTTATTTTTTAGGGATGCCAAGTCCCCACTTAAAAGTGGACCAGACAGCAGTGCATAGTAAGAACGAAGGCTCAGTGCCCACCATGATGACCAGGAAGAAGCCAGCCGCAGTTGACAGTGTTGCAATTCCACCAGCCCCAGTGTTATCTCTCCTTGCTGCATCCGCAGCAACATCGGACGCAGGTGAGCACTTTTCAAATGCTTTGGGTTCACCCCAAGCAAGACGAATGTGGAGAAAGCCCACTGAGAATGGCCTGTCGAATACAGGTAAGAGTACTCTGTTTTGCCATCGTCCCATAGACTCTGAACATGGGAGCTGTTTCAGCACTGGCTCTTTGAAGTGGGAGGAGATCTGAGAAAAGAAGGAGATCTCCTGGGAATGTGGAGGGTGGGTACTCTGGAACATTCTTCACTTTATTCTAACATGGGTCCACTGAGTAGCAACTAAATGCTAACATTATTAATCACTCTTTGTCAAGCCTTAGGAATTACTAATCTCTACATCAAGGGCCTTATATATGTTATTTCTTGTAGCTCATAAAATAAACGCTTGTATCCTCATTTTCAGAAGAGGAAGCTAAGAGTAAAGAAGCCTGCCCCAAGAACCTGTGGACAGTCAGGATTCCAAAGCCCATGCTCTCAACCAGTGCATTTCACTGTCCCTTGCTCATCAGGGTTGAAAGACAGTAATCACTGATTTATTGATGCATCGATACCTCCTACCCATGAATTGATGAATTTCTCAGTAGTTCCCAGAGTCCTCGCCAACAGTAGATAAAATATAAACTCCTTATTTAGATATCTCAAGTTCTCCACAGCCTGGTCCTTTCCACCTCTGTTCCCCACTGTGCCTCCCACCAGCCCCTGTGCCCACCTCCACTGTGTCAAGCTCATCCCTGCCTCCAGGAAGAGAGGCCTTGGGTTTGACTTAACACCTGAACTTGGAGACAGCCTTACTCAATTCCTAATCACATCCTACAAGTCCTTAAAACACAGCTAGTCACAGCTCCTCCAGGATACCCAGAATCTCTACTATGCAGTTCCCATCATTTCACAGACTGCAACTTCTCCCATGTAACAAAATTGCACATACCTCAGAGGCAGAGTCAACTATTTAGATTCTTGCTATCTCCCTGACATGCAGCATGACAATGTTACGTACATATTTCTTGAATTAACATATTAATGTAAATGTGGCAAGCACATTACAGTATTTAGAAAGGCCTGTTATGATTAGAAACCCAAGAAGAGACTCATTCTTAATATTTAGTCCAAATTCATTTTTCAATTTAGCCGTTTGCTTTGAGTAAAGAACTCAACTTGTCTATATAACTATCTCCTTCATGGAAAGCACTGGTAATTAGAAAATTAGCCCAATTGAAATAACAGAAAGAAACACTTGGAATGACACTTCCCCAGTTGAATTCAGCAAAATACTAGTAGGTGTTTTGTGATGAAGGATGTTTTCATGGAAAAGTAGGTGTAGGAAAAGCTGCTTCCTTACCCGTGGTTCTTTCTTGCAGGGCTTTTCAGGGCCTTGCATTGACCAATGTGCATTGTGAGGTTGCAGGATCATATCTGAACACACAACCCTTTTTTCTGGGACTCTCTCTTAACATCTCTTGGAACTGGTGTTCTCTCCAGCCATTTGAAAACTCTTGCTCTGAAGGAATGGGGTCATCTCTCAAATATGATCATGAGCCTTTACTTGGTGTGAAACAAAAAGTTTTTGGTGGAATTGCCAGGTAAATGGTGACAGTGAGGAGTACAAGAAGAAGACAAAGGAGGGAAAGTCACAGAGAAATGCAGAGGAAGTTGCCCCTGAGATTTGATGGATTAGTAGCACCTTGGAGGGAGGGTGTCCAAACAAAGGGAGCAAGTTGGGCAGAGTCTTGGAAGTGGGAACTGGTGCTATGACTGACTTCAAGGAAGACATCATTTGGCTTAAGCAAAAGATTTGGGCTATGCTCTGCACCCACTCAGATCAGTGGGTATTCAACCTTGTCGATTAAGCACTGGAGACCTCCCTTTATGGATTGAGAAATTAGCCTTTGTGTTTCCACCTTTGCCTGCCATGCACAGATATTCCTCTGAGGCAAAAGACAGGTGGTCCCCTATTTTCCTCCCCTGCACTCTTTCCCTTCATTGTGAGAGAACTTATTCTTGGGATCACATGCTTATATGGGCCTGCCTCCTCTAGTGCATCCAGTAAATAATTTACAAATATGCCAAATGGGCAGTAGAAACAGGTGGGTATTACACTTTTATACTTGACTCCCTGGTAATCAGAGCTGAGCCCAGACGCCTCTGTTGCAGGATGCAAGAACGGGCTGTTTATTTTTGGCAGTACTTAAACGAGACCCTCATGAGAATTTCACAGATTTGGTCCATTTCCGGGTCTCTGGCTGCTGAGCTGGACTTTTGAGGGGAAATAGGCCAGATATCTACCCCAGGTGCTGGAAGACAGACCTTCCTGAGATTTCACTCCCCACAGATAAAAAGCTTCCCACAAACCTGGGAGAGCTAGAAACACACAGGCTGGGCTTGTGGCCAATGCTCTGTTTTACACGTGAAGAAACTGAGGCCTCTTGAGATTCAGAGATTTGCCTGAGGTCATACAGTTGGATTGGAACCCAAATTTCCTGATTTACTGCCCGATTTCCAGTGGATTCCCACTTCTGTCATAGTCCCAACATGAGCAAAGGCAGATTTTTTTTTCCATAAATATGGACTTCTACTTCTTTTGGAGAACAGTGAATGAAGCTCATAATTTGATGAGGTAGATAGAGAGCTTTAGCCAAAGCCAAGCACATAGTAGGTAGTTAATAGTTTCTGGATTTGATCTTATTTAATTAGGTGCTTGAAATATATAGTGACATATATAGTACAGTGATATATATTTCTGACGAAACAACTCGCTTAATTGTTGTTTTCTTTCGAGCGCCTTTCTTCATCTTTCACTATAAACAAGGTAGAATTACTTCTGGCTTTAGGCAGGGATCAGCTTATTTTTTAATAGGTTATCATTTCTACAGAATGGTTTTGGAAACACAGACAATTGCAGGGAGAAAAGAAAAAGGAAAGAAGAGTTAAACTAGGTGGCTTATAAAACAAATTTAAGAAATCATGTATAGACATAATAAGGTACTGAAGTAATTCAATTAATTAGAAATTTTATTTAGAAATAATGGATGCAGGCCAGGCATGGTGGCTCACGCCTGTAATCCCAGCACTTTGAGAGGCCGAGGTGGGTGAATCACCTGAGGTCAGGAGTTCAAGACCAGCCTGGCCAACATGGCGAAGCCTCTACTAAAAATACAAAAATTAACCAGGTGTGGTGGCATCCCCCTGTAATCCCAGCTACTCGGGAGTCTTCTGCAGGAGAATTACTTGACCCGGGAGGTGGAGGCTGCAGTGAGCTGAGATCGCGCCACTGCATTCCAGCCTGGGTGACAAAGCGAAACTCCATCTCAAAAAAATAAAACAAAAAAAAATTTAAAAAGAATGGATGCAAAAATACCTAGTACAGTTCCTGACACATGTTACATGCTCAGTAAATAATCACTGAGTGAAACAAATGATTGAGAGGCAGTAGCTGTGTGCTTTTACAACATTAAATATGATGAGAGACATCTGAGAAAAACATAATCTTGAAACTGCCTTTTTTTTTGTTTTTGTTTTTGTTTTTTTTTAAGATGGAGTCTTGCTCTGTCACCCAGGCTGGAGTGCAGTGGTGCAATCTTGGCTCACTGCAACCTCCGCCTCCTAGGTTCAAGCGATTCTCCTGCCTCAGCCTCCTGAGTGGCTGGGATTACAGGCACATGCCACCATGCCCGACTAATTTTTGTATTTTTGGTAGAAGCGGGGGTTTCACTGTGTTGGCCAGGCTGGTCTCGAACTTCTGACCTCAGGTGATCTGCCCGCCTCAGCCTCCCAAAGTGCTGGGATTACAGGCATAATAACAATTAAATGAAAAACATTTGACAGGCACTTTGTAGGCTGCTGGAAAATACTCGCCAAATAATTTATCAGTCTCTAGTAAGAACAGTACTGTTTTCAAATAGGTGATCTTTGATAAAAGTACAATAAAGGAACATTCCCACCTTATGTTATAAACAATACAGTATGGGAGAAATGAATATGGGTCAAGGGTTTACAAATACGTGTTTTCTAGCTTGTATGCCTATATGCATGTGCTATATGGGTCCCCCAGGTTTTTGTTTCAGGCAATTTTTTTACTTTCTCAGAGTCTCAGAGGCATACTGATTATGACATTATTGATTTGTAAAAGGGGGCCATCGAGGAGATGCAGGAGGGAGTGGCGAGCTGGGAACATGTCAGTTTGTGAGCTACCAGGAGGGAGGATGGCGGTGGCTGCCAGAGGTGCTCAAACAGATCAGCCTTGGTGATCAAACTGCTCAATAGCTATTAATCAGCTGCAGTTCCCTGGTGCAGCCATGGAGGTCTGATTCAAGGGAGCACTGCATCATTATTGTGAGTAATTAGGGCTAATGCAGTAAAAGCGCCACTAAAGTTTGCTCAAAGTGAGGCATAACTTGAAACAACTTCTATTACACTAGCCCAGTAATGATTTAACAATCATATCAGATAATCCATACCTGAATAAGCCAGGCTGATTTTTCTGATTTTCTAGATGTTGAACTAACTTCTCAGGGAGATCATGTAATGTATAGAGAATTTGTGATTTCATTTCAGAAACATGTTTTCTCCCCTTATTTAAGATGAGTCTATATGAATAAGTAGATTCCAAATGGTGGTAAGAACTCAGTAAAATATCAAGGCAACAAAATCTGAATGGTTTTGCACTTGAAAGACTAGACTAGCAATAACGGGAAAACAAGTATATCCTCTCTCTCGCTCTCTCTCTCTCTCTCTCTCTCTCTCTCTCACACACACACACACACACACACACACACACACACATCAATATTCTCTCATCTTAAGTCCAAGGAGAAAAAAAAGCGCAAACATGTATCAGCCATGCTATCATCAGATCTCAACTGCTCGAGGTGTAGCTCAGTTCAAGATAACAAGGAAGTAGAGTGAGCACAGCTCTTAGCTTCTATCTGTTTTGTATCAAGGCTAATCCATTATTATTTCAAACTATATTATCTACCATGTTTAAAACTACCACAGCCAATGAATAAGTAAAAATATTTAAA